GCTTTGCTATGCTGTGCTCTGCTATGCTAAATATCAGCGAAGCTAAGATGAAGGTAAGCTAAGCTAAGATAAGATAAACCTGAGCTAAGATGAAGCTAAGCTACGCTAGGATGAAACAAACTAAGCTAAGATGAGACAACCAACGCTAAGCTAAGGGGGCGTAACTGGGGGAACCGCGGGGCGGATACTGGGGGGGGCCCTTTAAGCCCAGAGAGTAAGAAACCTTCTAGGCAGAGACTAGGTAGGGAACTACCTTCACTAAAACGACCTGCAACGACAGCTTGCTCGCGGCCAGCCTGGCCCCTCGGCAAGAGTGCCGACAAGCAACCTACCCAACGACCATCCACCGCCGCCCGCGCACCGCACACGACGGCGACGGCAATGGCGACGGCGACGACAATGACGACGACGACGACGACGACGACGACGACGACGACGACAACGACATCAATGAGCTGGTGGACCGGTCGGGCGGGCGGGGCATTAAATGCAACCTTCAATACGCGTTGGGAAAAGGTCATGGGCAAATATATCACAAACGCCAGAGACGCCGATCAGGCGGGCGGAACATCAAATGGAACCTGTAGCCAATGTGGTGGGCGGGACATCACACGCGACCTTCGGTGCGAGAAATGAGAAATCGCACGAGAGATTCTGCTGAACATGTGGTCATCGTGCCGCTCGGGTATCTTCGCGAATATCCACATCGCCACCGCGTCGGTGCTGATGTGGGGCGCGTCAGCGATTCGTTGCGTGAACCCTCGCGGGAGACGCCGGCAAAGCTCGATTTCCCCTCTATTGCGGAGGCACTCTTCAAAAAAGCTGCTACATCTCCCGAACTGCAACCGCACGCTCGAAGAAACCTCCATGCGAGCCCACATATCCGTCCAGCACCCGTTCAGCCATCAGGCCGCTGGTAGGTCTAAACAAAGCCTACTGCCCACGATTGGCCAAATATAACATGCCGACCGCGAACCCCATAGCTCGCCTGCCATCCCACTCCGCATGAGAAATGATCCTCAGCCTAAGCATATGGGCCGCCTCCGCTAGGGCAATGAAAGCCAGCACGCCGTGGTCCCCGATGAACTCCCTCGGATCCAGATGGCCGCCCAATTGGGCGCGCGCTACAAAGTCTCGACCACCTGCCAATCTTTCCAATTCCGCGGTTGCACGCTTTCGGCTGGTCGCCATGCACCGTACCAGTCGCCGCCAGAACTGCCTGCGTGCCGCCTCACTTCAGGAGGCCAGACGATAGGCAAATACAAATCGTTGTCGCCCTCGGGAGCTGCGCCACCACTGTTTCGTATGCACAGGCGCCAAAATACGCGCGACAGGCGTGCGGGCCAGGAACAAGACCACCGCATAGGCCGATCAAATGGCCGATATAATCGCACCAAGCCGTAGGAGGGCACAAACCAAAGTGCATAACTTTTGTTGGTTCCGTAACCAGATCAGGATGCTCGAACAGGCAGAACATGCCGAACCCCCTGATTCATGCCCCGCGCCGCAGCCTCTTCAGGATGTCCACCTCGAGGTCCGAGACCACCCAGCTGGTCAGGGAGAACTCTGGTTGCTCCTCATCCGTGAGCAGGGGGCTCGGTTGCTCTTCTCCGACACCCTGGGCGAGCAGCGCCGGCACCTCCTCCAACCGCCATGCAACCTGTCACTTCCAGGAGGCGCCTCCAGAAACTGCTCTGCCTCCGAAACGAGATTGCGCGCGCCCTCCCGGGGAGTGCACCTCCCGAGCCACGAGCGCCGAGCACGCCCGTGCACCTGGGCCGCACCAGCCTGCCGGCTGCCCCCAGCCGAACTGCAGGCACGGGGAAAGCCGCGCCCACGCTGGGGCATTGCCGGGGCGGCGAGTGGGACCACCGGCGGCGATCCGTCGCGTCGCGCACGAGGGGCGCTGGGGGCTGCGGCGGCGCGGGCAGGCCGCGCGGGGCAAAACGGCTGCACGGCCGCCCGCTGCCGAGCCACCTAAAATGAGGAGGAGGAGGAGGAGGAGGAGGAGGAAGAGGAGGAGGAGGAGGGGAGGAGGAGGAGGAGAAGGAAGGAGGAAGTAGAGGAGGAAGAAGGGGAGAGGAGGAGGAGGAGGAGGTGGAGGAGGGGCAACAAGAGGTGGAGGAGGAAGAGGAGGAACAGGAAGGGGGGAAAAGGGGGGAGGAGGAGGAACGGAACGGGACGCCCGCGTGGCATCGCCGTGCTGGATGCCGAAAAGAAGCCTCTGACTAAACAATGTGTTCCGTCTTCGTTTTGTTGTCGTGCTCTCTCGTTCTATCTTCGCTTCGCCTGTGTTGCAAAACGCAATACGAAAAGGCTCCACGAGATCACCAGAACAGAGTTCAGTTTAGATCGGCCGCTGGCACGGTCAGGTCTCTCGTTGCCACAACGGGCATTCGCCTGCAACCCCGCTCGGGGGGGCATCAGGCCCCTGGCCCAAACCAGGACCATGTGCGAGGGGCGGGCCCAGGCCGAGCGAGGGGGGGAAGTGAGAAGGAGAAGGCCTTCCCAGAAGGCGGCGGGACCTCTCAGAAGCCCTCGCGCCTTCTGAGAAGTGTTCTGCATCTTCGGGAAAGACTTAATTTCATTCTCACTTCCCCCCCGAGTTCACCGCCGAGTCTTCCCATCCATAGGTGTGCTAGGGAGGGGAGCAGGAAGTCCACCCCAATACATACTCGCCGCCCTGCAACGACACGAGAGGGAAACAACGGAGAGGGGGGAACGACGGGCGAGATGACGGGGCGGAGGGCATGAAACCAGGAGAAGAAGAGAGCAGGCAACACACACGCAGCGGAGGGGAGAGCGGAGGAGAGGGAGAGAAGGAAGCAGGGGGAGCGCGGCATCGCGCGATAAACTCAAGATCCTCGGCATCCGAAGGCGTCGAAGCCTGCTCAGGAGAGGGAGGGCCCAGCAGCGCACTTCGAGCGAGCGCGTCAGAGTCCGAAGGAGGGGAAGCATGAGGAGGAGGAGGAGGAGGAGGAGGAATCACACTGATGCCTCCCTCTCTCTCTCTCTCTCTCTCACGGCACCCTTCAGTAAACGGCGAAAGCTTGGTACGAGCTGACGTGAACGCTGCGAAGGAGGCGGAAGAGAGGTCGGTACTCGTGGCTTTGAGCTCAGCGGCCTGTACAGGGCCTGCACAAGGCAGAACCACAACTCGCAGGGCTCATGGCAGGACGGCCTCGAGCGAAACAGCTCCTGCACGGGTTACTTCGGGGCGGGGCCTCGGAAGCGCTGCCGGAGGGTGGCTGGCTGAGGGTACCCCAGGAGGTCTCGCTGGGCCAGCTCAGGCACACGCTCACGATTCTGGATGCCTATCGGTCTGGCTGGCTGCCTCAGTCGTGAAGAAAGTGTCCTTCGACTGAACACCCCTCCGACAAGCCACGCACGTCTCACACATCATCTGACACTGGAAATATCTGGAAATCGAATCACATTGCCATTGTAATTGCAAGACGCAGCTAGAACGATAAGGAAAGAGGGCGAGCCGCAGTGATGGAGGTGCTGCTGGATACCCTCTGAACCATCCCGGACCTCTGAGGGAGTCGCTCCGCATCTCGCTCGAGGGCTCCCTTGGGGGCTGCAATGGTCTCGGCGTTGCCGCTCTGAGCTGCATCCATGCAAATGTGGGACGCATGAACGGTCATGAGCGCCACGCCGTCAACCGTCTGCCCTCTTCTCTGGGCCATACTGGGAACAGCCTTCCTCGGGAACGGAAAGCATTCCTCGGAAGGAAGAATCTTCCTCTGTGAAAAGAAAGGTTCCTCTGAACATCTTCCTCGGGAGGGGAAAACCTGCCTCAGCCAGCGGCAACTTTCTCGGGATGGACAAAGCCTTCCTCGGTAGGGAAAATCCTTCCCCGAGAAGAAGAACTCCCTCTGGAATAGCAGAAATCCTGGGGAAGGCATGCTTCCTCCTCGGGAAGGAGAACCTTCCTCGGAAAGAAAACGCCGTCCTCGGGAGGAGGACGGACCTTACTCTGAAAGGAAACACGCTCATCGGGAAGGCTTTCCGAATGTTTTTTTAGTCTGAGCTGTCACTCCCAGCTGGTTCTGGTGATCGTAACGCGACCGACGTAGTCCGTGAGCAGTTTCCAGTAAGTGCAATCGGCCTTATGAAGAGGAAGAACAGAACATCACCATAAACAATTGGAGATCCGCGCGGATTTCCTGGATCTGCGCTGGGCCCTCCTACCTGTCGCGCAAATCGCCGCCAAGGGAGCCGAACGCAGATCCAGGCAATCCGCGCGGAACAACGGACGCTTACTCTTATTGAGTATCGTTTATCCGATCCCCATCCCCAGCGGCGTGGCCTGGGCCCCACTGGCCGATTTCCCCCCCTTGGTGGGGATATACGCCGTTCCCTTCGGGTTTCGAGGGGTGTACCCCCAACTGGGGGGGTAGTTTGGTGGGGGTCTCGAAGGGGATGGGGATGGGGATGGGGGTCGGATAAGCGATACTGAGCTTAGTCTTGTACACTTTTTCTCCTCCGGCTCCAGCAATTGAGATTGGCCTATTCTCTCCCCGCGAGCGCGACCGCACCCCGCCGCCGCCGCTGCCGTTGCCACAGGAGCCCACAATCGACAATCGAATCGAAAAGAATCGGACCAGAGGAAATCGGCAGCCAAGTCCGAAAAAGTCGGATCGGCGGAGGAGGGCAGGCTCGTTGCGAAACCGAAACCCAAATCGGAATCCGAAGTCGAATCGAATCGGAATCGGAATCGGTCGAAACCGATGAAAAAAAAAACATAGACATACACTCTCGGAAGTCCGACGAATTTCTTGGATCTGCGCAGAACCCCCCATCACTGGCGCGCGGAGCGCGCAAGGCGCGGCGCCAGAGACGCTGCCAGGAAGGCCCCAACGCCGATCCAAGAAACCCGAGCGAACCGTCCAAAGTTTGTGCTTATCCTTTTTCTCCCTCGGAAAACGTATCGAATCGGGCGAGAAAAATCGAATGAGCTCTGGCTGCCATCGCCGCTGCGGGGCGCGCGCTGGCGCGCCGCGGGCCTCCGTGGGCGACATCGGCGTCTCCCCGAAGCGCTCGAGGCTCGGGGCGCCAGGGCCGCGGCCGGGGGTGCCGATGCCGAACTGCAGGCCCAGGACTCCGCCCGACGACCCCTGCAGGCGCAGAGGGGGTGGGAGGCGAGATCCTCCTCCACCCCCAACCTCCTCGCCATCTTCCATGTTCCTACCTCTCCTTCTCCTGCTCCTCCTCCTCCTCCTCCTCCTCCTCCTCCTCCTCCTCCTCCTCCTCCTGCCTCCTCCTCCTCCTCCTCCTCCTCCTCCTCCTCCTCCTCCTCCTCCTCCTCCTCCTCCTCCTCCCTCCTCCTCCTCCTCCTCCTCCTCCTCCTCCTCCATTCCTTCCCCTTAAGGATAACTCCTCCCTGTCGCACCCCAAGGCCGGTTCTTAGCGCGGACCGGACGTTTTGCCTGAGACTTCCTCACCACTTCTGACTCTGAAGCTTAAAAAGTGACATCAAGTTTCACGGATGGTGGGGTGGCTCTCGCCTTAGCGCCGCGCACACGTTTCTTAACATGTGCAGGAGTTTCACGGATTGAAGGCGGGTCTTTTCAAAATGTGGCTCTCGCCTTAGCGCCGCGCACATTCGGTTAAAAAGTGAGCAAGAGTTTCACGTATCGAAGGCGGGTCGTTTTTAAAATGTGGCTCTCGCCTTAGCGCCACGCACATTCGTGCTTAAACACTTGTAAGAGCTTCACGGATTGAGGGCGGGTCGTTTTCAAAATGTGTTTCTCTCCATAGCGCCGCGCACAATCGTCAAAAAAAATACAAGAGCTTCACGGATTGAGGGCGGTTCCTTTTCAAAATGTGGCTCTCGCCTTAGTGCCGCGCACATATTATTTTAAATTCTGCCAGACTTTCACGGATTCCCATTATCACGTGTTGGAGAAGTTCAGCATTATGCGGGCGCAACAGTTATGTTGATTCGCTGTGTTGAAGCCCCAGAAAAAAGAGAGAGAGAGAGAGAAACAAAAAAAACAAAAAAACGTTTTGGCACGATTCTGGATCGTCAAGACGCAGCAGTCAGGCTGATACGTGGCGTTGAAATCCCGAGAACATTGTGTTTTGGCACGCTTCAAGGTTTTCAAGCCGTGGTCCTCCAACGAGGTAGTTCCCTAAACGGAAATGAACCGTCGTAGGGGCCTATGAAGAGGGAGCTTGGAGGGAGGGTGGATTCCAACATCGTTGATGACTCTTGGGTGTCTATTGGTCACCCTCCTCCTCCTCGTCCTCCTCCTCCGCGCCGCGCACATGAATGTTAAACATGTTCAAGAACTTCACGTGTTGAGGGCGGTTCCTTTTCAATATGTGGCTCTCGCCTTAGCGCTGGATTCATACGTTTTCAAAAGTTGCAAGGGTTTCACGGATGGAGGGCGGGTCGTTTTCAAAATGTGGTTCTCGCCTTAGCGCCGCATGCATTCGTTTGCAAAAATTGCAATGGCTTCACGGATTGAGGGCGGTTCCTTTTCAAAATGTGGCTCTCGCCTTAGCGCCGCGCATGTTCAAGAGCTGAACGGATTGAGGGCGGCAACTTTTTTTCCCGGCCAACCTGTGTTGTTGGGTCCTCGTTTTGAAGAGACGGTCCCCGCGTTCCTTCCTCCTTCCTCCTTCCTTCCTCCTCCTCCCCTTCCTCCCCCCTCCTCCCCCTCCCACACCCATTCTGGCACACCCCTCACACGTGTCGTGGCCCCATAGGGAGCTCCACCGAAGGCCCCAGTGGCTGCGCCCGCATGCGGTTCCACCCCCCATTCTGGCACACCCCTCACACGCTTCGTGGCCCCATAGGGAGCTCCACCGAAGGCCCCAGTGGCTGCGCCCGCATGCGGTTCCACCCCCCATTCTGGCACACCCCTCACACGTTTCGTGGCCCCATAGGGAGCTCCACCGAAGGCCCCAGTGGCTGCGCCCGCATGCGGTTCCACCCCCCAGTCTGGCACACCCCTCACACGTTTCGTGGCCCCATAGGGAGCTCCACCGAAGGCCCCAGTGGCTGCGCCCGCATGCGGTTCCACCCCCCATTCTGGCACACCCCTCACACGTTTCGTGGCCCCATAGGGAGCTCCACCGAAGGCCCCAGTGGCTGCGCCCGCATGCGGTTCCACCCCCATTCTGGCACACCCCTCACACGTTTCGTGGCCCCATAGGGAGCTCCACCGAAGGCCCCAGTGGCTGCGCCCGCATGCGGTTCCACCCCCCATTCTGGCACACCCCTCACACGCTTCGTGGCCCCATAGGGAGCTCCACCGGAGGCCCCAGTGGCTGCGCCCGCATGCGTTTCCACCCCCCATTCTGGCACACCCCTCACACGTTTCGTGGCCCCATAGGGAGCTCCACCGAAGGCCCCAGTGGCTGCGCCCGCATGCGGTTCCACCCCCCATTTTGGCACACCCGTCACACGTTTCGTGGCCCCATAGGGAGCTCCACCGAAGGCCCCAGTGGCTGCGCCCGCATGCGGTTCCACCCCCCATTCTGGCACACCCCTTTCACGTTTCGCGGCCCCGTAGGGAGCTCCACCGAAGGCCCCAGTGGCTGCGCCCGCATGCGGTTCCACCCCCCATTCTGGCACACCCCTCACACGTTTCGTGGCCCCATAGGGAGCTCCACCGAAGGCCCCAGTGGCTGCGCCCGCATGCGGTTCCACCCCACATTCTGGCACACCCCTCACACGGTTCGTGGCCCCATAGGGAGCTCCACCGAAGGCCCCAGTGGCTGCGCCCGCATGCGGTTCCACCCCCCATTCTGGCACACCCCTCACACGTTTCGTGGCCCCATAGGGAGCTCCACCGAAGGCCCCAGTGGCTGCGCCCGCATGCGGTTCCACCCCCCCATTCTGGCACACCCCTCACACGTTTCGTGGCCCCATAAGGAGCTCCACCGAAGGCCCCAGTGGCTGCGCTGGCATGCGGTTCCACCCCCCATTCTGGCACATCCCTCACACGTTTCGTGGCCCCATAGGGGGCTCCACCGAAGGCCCCAGTGGCTGCGCCCGCATGCGGTTCCACCCCTCATTATGGCATACCCCTCACACGTTTCGCGGCCCCATAGGGAGCTCCACCGAACGCTCCAGTGGCTGCGCTCGCATGGGGTTCCACCCCCAATTTCGGCACACCCCTCACACGCCTGGTGGGTGGCTCCATGGGGAGCTCCACCGAACGCCCAAGTGGCTGCGCTCGCATGTGGTTCCCCCCCCATTTCGGCACACCCCTCACACGGTTCGTGGCCCCATAGGGAACTCCACCGAAGGCCCCAGTGGCTGCGCTCGCACGCGGTTCCGCCCCCTTTTTCGGCACGCCCTTCACACGTCTCGTGGCCCCATAGGGAGCTCCACCGAACGCCGCAGTGGCTGCGCTCGCATGCGGTTCCACCCCCCATTTCGGCACACCCCTCACACGCTTCGTGGCTCCATAGGGAGCTCCACCGAAGGCCCAAGTGGCTGCGCTGGCATGCGGTTCCACACCCCATTCTGGCACACCCCTCGCACGTTTCGTGGCCCCATAGGGGGCTCCACCAAAGGTCCCAGTGGCACTGCCCGCTTGCGTCCGCCACCACCCAGCACAGCCCTTGTTCCCTGCGCTTCACCCACCCAGAACAGCACTTCGTAGCCCTATAGGGAGCTCCACCAAAGGTCACAGCGGCACCGCCCGCATGCGTCCGCCACCACCCTGCGCAGCCCTTGTTCCCTGCCTGCGTTTCACCCACCCAGTACAGCGTTTCGTGGCCCCATAGGGAGCTCCACCGAAGGTCCCAGTGGCACCGCTCGCATGCGTCCGCCACCACGCAGCACAGCCCTTGCTGACCGCGTCTCACCCACCCAGTACAGCGCTTCGTGGCCTCATAGGGAGCTCCACCGAAGGCCCCAGTGGCACCGCCCGCATGCGCCCGCCACCACCCAGCACAATTGCGGCATTCACAACTGCATATGGTTGGGTCCTTCGCCAGGCAAATTTTATTATTGCAGCCGCGGGCGGAAGCGCCAGCGGCGGCGAGTAACGGTCGGGCTGCGGCCGAAACTAGTTGGCCGGACGCGCGCGCGGGCCGCGGCCGGCGCCGGGGCGGCGGGCGCTGCAACCCAGGGTGTCTGACGCCCAGGGACCTGCACCCAGGGAGTCTGTAACTACGCTGCCAAAATGGCGCGATGCAAATAACCCCAAGGTGTCTGAGGCCATGGCCAAGCAGTACGCTGCTTGGGTACACTATCTGAACAGTAGGGAGTCTGCAAACCTCGGCGCGAATGGCGTACCATAGGGTCCCAGCGTGTCTGAACCATGCTCAAGCAGAAGCGTCCGAGAGACGCGCAAGCTGCCGCCTGACTGCATACCGTAGGGAGAGGTTGGACTCTGACAGCGCCAGCGAACCGTCGCAGCTTCAGAGCACGCACCAACGCAGCCAAAATGGCGCGAAATTCGTGGTGTCTGTAACCGAACAAGGCACGTCAGGCCCGGGAAGACAACCTCGAACAGAGACGCGTTCGCAAGCGATCCATCAGGTAACATGATGTGACGCTATGCGGAAGGTACAACTGCCCCAATCTTCGACCAGGCACAAGTCGCAGGCGACTAGCAACCAAAGATAAGAGCAGGAACGCGTACCAGGGGGCATCTGACGTGACAAGCATACGCAGAGCCACGCCTATCCTTGGTACCCTGGCGTACCAGAGTGAAGTGTAAGAAGATGGCGCTCTGGGAAAGCTGCGCTGCCGCTTACCAGCTGCAGCCGAAGCAACAGCCAGTGGTCACGAAGAAGCCCAGGGAGCTAAGGGCCGCTCATCCATGTAGAGCGGGGGAGCGACGATGGGATGATGCCAGTCCGGGCAACAGGAACTGGCGGCCAACAAAGGACGCAGGCGCACGCACTTGGCACAGGTATAGGCTCAGTCCGCTGACCACCCGCGGCAACACTGTGGCCGGTGCGCGCAAGTGGGTGCGCAACTGCGTCCCTGCGTCCGGGCGCGGCGACAACGTCCTTACGGGTGGGCACACCACGCCACCGTGCCGGAGGCGTACCTCAACGGCTCAGAAGTGCACCATCTGGTCATGCGTTCGAAACCCGCTCGCTGTCGGGGCGCCACCCGCCCAAGGTCGCTCCCAGGGAATAGCAG